AAGAAATCGATGGTTAAGGAGTTTAACGGTGACATATAAGAGAAAGGTGGAGATGTCAGATTTAACTTCGAGTTTTCTTTAAACAATATTACACGCTATTTGGTCGTTTACACACATTATTGTTACGTAGAAACATCCATCAAACTGTGTGCATGATTCCACATTTCTTAACGTACGAATTACGTCTTGAATCCTGTAATTTCTTTGGCATGTGCGTGGTGCGTTCTTTACTTCATTAACTTTTAGTTTCCTTAGATGTTGAGTGTGAAAGATAATTGATCAATGTCGGGAATTATGTCCACACATATCAAGCAAACTTTAAAATACCGTGTGGCAAGTGGGGTTTTTAGGAGGGTGGGATGGGAGAGGTCAAAAAGAGACTTGCCTCTCCCACCCTTTCAAATTTCAAATTTCTTAATACTATTACATTTCGGGAAGTCTGTCTGAAAACTCGTTCGACAATTCGTTGGCCACTACGCGCCCTCCCCATAGTGGTTCGTTGAAACGCCACTGTACCAGCAGTCATTATAATACCTATATGGATTCTCGTTCATAAATAATTAAATGCGTATAAAAAAGTGACGCATGAACATTAGATATACAACAAATGATTCTGTCAACCTCCTCCCTTGCTACATCCCTCATGAAAGGAAGTTCCTCCCATAACATTTTATAAAAATAAATGTCTGGAGCTGCGTATTTAAATGTCAGTAAAAATTATTTGTGTTAGAATCAATGAGCTAGATATATACTTAATTAAAATGGTAATGACAAAATATCTCCTGGGAATTTTCAAATCGTTTAGTGAATATAAAGTGATAGCTATGAGCTCTATCTTGGTCTGTAGTTTTAATACTAATAATAAATCGTACTGCTTTGATCATGGTCGGCCAATTATTCTTTTTCGTTAATAATTTACAATAAAATATTTAAAAAAATCGTTCGTGAAAGTGTCAAAACTAATACAGTATACAATACGTGGGTGTTGCCAACATCTAAACATACCGCTCGTTCGTGAGAGTTTCCAACATCTAACATACCGTTCGTTTGTACCGTGCGTTCGTGAGAGTTTCCAACATCTAACATAAGATACGTTGGAATTTTCATGACTAATATACCGTCTGTTGGACTTGCCAAAATCAAACAATCCTCACGTTGGACTTGCCAAAATCAAACATACCGTACGTTGGAGTTGCCACTATCTAACATACCATACGTTGGAGATGCCAACAATTAATGTACCGTTTGATGAAGTTGCCAATATCTAACATACCGTACGGTTTCCATTACTAATATATCATCTGTTGGAATTTCCAACATCAAACAAACCATACGTTGGACTTGCCAACCCAAAACAATATACTGTTTGATGAAGTTGTTAATAAACAAACGATTCTTCGGAGTTCATGTATATACGTAGTTGGTGATGCAACAATAAACATACGATATGTATCTACCATACCTTTCGTTGGAGTTGCTTGCCAACATGAAACATTATGATGAATTTGAAGTATCCATTGTTCGTTGGAGTTGCCATCATCTCAAATACCAGTGTTAAAAAGCGTCCAGTATATAACAAAACTGCATGTTTCGATATGTAACATACCCTTCATTGGAGTTTACTTTCTTTGCTACACGTTGATTATTTAACCCTTATAAATAATAACAAATTTTGGTATCTTTCACTACATAGAGGCCCAGACTATAGTTTTGTCCGTAGTATGCGGCGTACTACGGACATCATATGGATGTAGCGGACAAAACGAGTCTAGAAAAAAACATTTCCAGTAAGCTTGTGTATACTATGTCAAAAACATCTTTAAATTGTTTGAAGAAAATGTAATTGCATTTAGGCATGTTTTTACAGCTTCTGCAATATATCAAATTATCTTTTGATTCGTTCAAGATGCGAGAATGACAGATTATTTCTTTAATAGAAAAAGTATCTTGCTGAAGATCTCACATCTTTCAATAAATTCAAACATCACCTATCTACTTTCCTTTGATTTTGACAGTATTTCGAATGGATTTAGCTGGTAGACGCCATCGATCAACAATTTAGGATAGCATTAGAAACTCTTATCGAGAAAACCGGCTACAAAGCACTGTAGAAAGTGGATTTCTGAGATATGGCAATACTTTTAACTATCAACTCCAATAAAGACAATAATTTAGCTGGTGTTTGTGTGTATGAGAAATGGGAATAATGTTTAATATCTTAAAGGGTTTACCAGGCGCCAGACGGTATTATTTATCAACGTATAATCATATGTTTTCCAATATCAGCTCTAGAATCCAGTCGATTTTCTGAATATGTGGGCAAATAGAAGTAATATTTCGTTTTACATGTATAAAATATGTATGTAAATGTCACGAGGCAGGTTGAATGTCTTTAGATATGATAAAAGTCTTTATTGGCTTACAAGAACTTAAATCGTAAATTTTATCGGAACTTAGGTCGATAGTTTTTGCATTAGATCGGTTCTACTTTATGTCCTGATGAAATGCCTTGCTTTTTCATGCAGCCAACTTATTTTCTACTAGACTGACATAGTATCTTTATATCTGATCTTAATAAAATGATAAGTAAAGGATATCGGACTTAACGTCTGTAGACATTGAAGTTATTATTCCACCCACTAAACTTTAATATTAATATATTTAGATCACAAGGTCTTAATAAGATAAGTGGTTATTAAGTCTGTTATTACCGTCTGATATTACTCTTTGTAAGGTCGGAAGCTACTTTTATACAAAAAATAAATTGTTACAGAGTCCGATGCGGTCACATCTACCAGTAAGTTTATGTTGACAGAAAGTACAAAGGGCATCACTACTAAAATAAACTACCAGAGAACTACAATACCTTAAACTAGCATGAGTTGTCCTTCTAAACTTTACTCAAACCCAGACGATACAATTACACTAGATAACACCACTTCGCTGAACTGCAGTGGACGAAATTACTAAACAGCAACACCAACTACTATGAACGACACTACTAACGTAGACAGCACTACTCACACTACAATGGACACCAATACTAAACTACAAAACTACATTGCGCTACAATGGACGGCGAAAACATCACTCCACTACACTGCACTACAATATAGACAATACTACTAAACAAAATTTCCCCCTCAGCTGCACTACACTACTCTACTAAACTAAACAGCATCATTACACTGTAAAACATTGAGCCTATAAACCCATCTTCATTAGTCCACATGTTGCAGAAAAGCTGGACGTAAAACTCAATTCATTTCATTTTATTTACACTACTAAATTCCATCACACTACCATGAGACAGATGAAAACTAAACTACTAAGCTATCCTACTCAATCACACTGAGCGACATTATAAACCTATACATAACACAACTGTAAGACACTACAATTTTCAACTACAATAGGCGGCACTAATTTAGTACACCATATCACCCATATACTATAATTATCATTCCGGAATCTCGTTATATTTTCAATCCCTGTGTAAATTCTTCATTTCGGCTTAATGGGAAATTTATTTGAACATTAAAACTATTTCCAGACATACTAAGTATATATATATATATAGAATTTGTTGTTATATAAAGTACGGTTCTTACGTCTGAATTTAACTATGATTATTCGATAAGAGAATATACCTCTAATCCCATTGATCGTTAACTGAGAGAGAAAATTACGTTCAGAAAACTTATTGTTGAGAACCAGTCAGATAAAATAATTTCTTCAGATGAAATATCTCTTTAAATTCCGTTAAGGACAGAGAGGTTATTTGAAAATACAAGACGTGATTATAAGATGCATGGTGAAAATGTGTCGTTCTCTGCTCGAAATTTCCTTACTTCGTTATTGGTCATTATTCCTATCTAACAACGGTTTTCCTTTATAACTGAAATTCCTTGCAACGTTATTGAGCATTACTCAAGTGGAATAATGGTTTTCTTTTATTACTGGAATTTCTTACACCACCATTATTAGACATTTCTCAAAGCGAATGATGATCTTCGCTTATTAATGCAATTTGCATCGTTTCTTGACATGACTGGTCATCGAACTATGGTTTTCCTTTATTACTGGAACATCTTGCATAAGTACTTAGTAATCCCGGAGTCAAACAATGGTTTTCTTCTATTACTGAAATTTCTTGCAGCGTTAGTGGACACAATTCCCATCGAATTATGGCTTTCCTTTATTATTGGAATTCCTTTCATTTTTTACCCTTTAAAACGAATTTACAGGTCTTAGATTAAGCTATCAATTCATGTGATATAATATGACATTTCAAAAGAATTCAATACTATGATACAGTTTTATTTGTTTATATATTTCAGTGGCCAGGACATCCCAAATTTTATCCATTCTATAGAGTAATTATAGCTTTAGTGTTGACTGGATGGTGTATTGCTGATGTAGCGTATGAAACAGGACAGTTTTATCATGGTCAAACCTGGAAATGGTTTATATATGCCACAAACTGGAGTTTTATACTGCTGGTTCTTTCTGGGCTATTTCAAGCTACCACCGCCTGTATTTACAGTTTTAGAAGTCATTGGATTATAGGTAAGTTTTATTTAATACTTCCTTACTTGTAGCTGGTGGATAGCTGATGGTATTCAGTTCTTGAGATAATGTTTCCCTATAACGATATCGAAAGGTGTCGGGAAATCGAGATGTTACTTTGCTGTTATAAAGTTAACTCGACTTGACGCTTCCTGATGTTTGACAAGTAAATTTTAAAAAAGCAAGAAAAAGAAACAACTATATTTTACAAGGATGATAACTTGGGTTCATCTTGGCATTGATCATTCCCCGATTACCCGTTTCCATGTACAGCTGAGTCGACTTGAATTACACGTGTGAGTGAGGATTATTCATTGGCATCGAACTTTTACACACTGACCGAGATTGGAATTCACGACTACCATTTGTTCGACTTCAAGATGTTAATAAGTTTATACCTAAACACTATCTACTGCCTATTTTACGTTTTGCGGTATGTATCACATAAGTTTGTAAATGCAACAATTTGATTGAACTGTACGCTAGCGAACACAATCAATCAGATGAAGAAAGTATAAACAATAAGCTATCATAATGTTTACAGTCACTCTGTGGAGGGCTTTGATTGACTAAACGCTGCCGTGCAATACAATCAAATCGCTTCATTCGGTGATAAAAAAAGGGTAACTAATAGAGTTAAGGTGTATGACGAAGATGATCCTGGTAGTGATTTCAATGATCTTAAAATAGTTTAAGTAATTCTTATGATGGTTGGAGAATTCAGTCCCTAAGGTACACGTATCTAAATGAATAAACTGTTTAATCAATTGAGATCACCATTCTGTGACAGATACATAATCATAGTCTAGGAGTTCCGTTTCACTTGGTCAGATCTCCACCATGTTATTTACATTCGTAAACAAAGACAGGTGATTAATGTTACAGTGGGAAATGAGACTGGTATAATAGGGAATATATTAATCATTACACAATGCTATGAGCTGATCATCAATCATATTATTATTAGATCAAAGTTGATTTATCTTTTTATATGATATATGTGACAAATATATTGTGGCTGTCTCCGTGATATACATTGAAACATACACAAATAGTTCAATATCTGGCAATACTAAGTTCATTAGTTTTTTCTGAAAGGATGAAAATAAAGATTTTGGGTCCCCATTTTAACTCTATCATACAGATAAATGTTGACCATCAAAAGAAAACACTAAATGCCATCAGGAGAAAAGGTTCTAGTCTGATGCTCCTTCAGCATTAGATGCCGTACACCATTGCTAAAGGAACGCAGTCTTTTCTTTTTCCTTGATTATTTGAATAATATGTCTCTTGATAGGCCAGTATGAACTGTTGGCTGACATTTTTATTTACTTGGAAATAAATATAGACGATATTCCTTGACATTGGTCGACTGACCAGTTAATTATATAGATTGTATAGTCTGCTCGTCATTTTATTGGCAGTAATTCCATTTTATCCTTAATTTATGCCTCGAACTTAATTAATCGGAAAAGAGACCCTAATGCCAGGTCAACCTAACGTGATGACCCTTTCAGAAATTATCAGATTTTGAGGTCAGTGAGAGCAATCGTGTTAATCGTAGATCATCGGACCAGATCCTGTCGTATCGCGTTTGTCCTTCAAAACGGTGACCGGGATCGCCACAATCGATACATTCCTTAGATGCGAACGCATTTTGATCGTATCTGAACTGTGAGCGTGGTAGAGCCTATCAGAATCATCACATCCTATCACATCATATCTAAACCTGAGATTTCAGAGAAATTACTAGCTCAGCTGCGAATGACCAATCATGGGTGCGAAAAGGTTCGAACGACAGTCGCAACGAAATTCAATTTAGTTATGGCTGTGTAAATACTTTGCATTCCTTCAAAAATTGCAAAGAAGCTGTTAAGCTTTTATTTTTCTGCCCCTGTATCTTGTACACCCGACAAGTTTTCTGCATTTTTCAAGTCCTGCATGTAAAACAAACAATAACCAACATTGTGTGTGCATTGGGTAGTCTCTTTCAACAATATAGACGACAAACATTTTGTTTCATTTTAACAACTGTTGTCTAAATTGCTATTATTTGAAAACTGCTGCTTGAACATTTACCCATAGAACATTTACAGACAGGTTATTTTATTGCTCGCTTTTACAGTTTCCTATTGCAAAAGGATGCATGAATAATTATAATTTTCCATATAGAGCTAAATATGTCTTGATGATAGAAACTAGTTTTACATGTTTGACATAATTTTTATGAGAATATTTTAATATATCCCTTATTGTCAATGACCTAACGCTCCGGACCAGTGGGTAGAAATCGATCACCGGAATAGTGAAAGCTACAATTCATTTTAATTCAATCCAATCTAACAGATTATCAATGATGGTTGACGTTTGATGAATCAACCACCCTCCCACTCTCTGACCACATTAGATCAATTCTATCTGGTGTCAATTGTAAACTATTGGTATAGTCCGTTAGCACAGATTGCTATGGTGTCTTTTATTTAATTCAGTGATACTATTTTCAATGTGTCAACACGGCACGGAATATCTTAACCTTTACAAAGACCCGGACAACATTGCGCATGCGACTCTCGTGGGTTTCTATGGACCACAATCAAAAGCTTTGATAGGTGTCTTGTCATTTTACTTACAATGTAAATTTGATTTTGGATTAATATACTTTTTACATCCGATTTTGGTTTTTGGTTACGACTCGTGGATTTTTATTCAATATTCTGAAATATTCTGTTCTAAGTTTGTCATATTTGGAAGTTAATATAATTGTGAATAACTTGAATTCATTTCCTATGTTAGGCAGTCTTTCAAAACTGTTCGTTTTTGGGTATTTAAAATCCATGGTTCGCCAATTTTGGGGATTCATTTAAATCTTGCTAATAATCTTCACTGCATGAACTGCATGAAAATCGCATACTCCCTTTAAAAATACTTCAAACTAGAAATTTAACTTCCTTTTTTATATGTCTTTTCTATATATGGCATAGTATCAAGAAAAGACGAATCGTTATTTAAACTTTTAAACGCGGATAATTCTGGACGCACATTGATTTGAAGTCACTTTTACTGATTATCTTAGCTTAAAAAACGTTTCTGAGACTTCAAACAGATGGTGAACTCTGTCCCTTTAAAAAACGCTCGATAACCTTGTAAGGGTGGCAAATAGCTAATGCAATAAACATCAAGTACTCAATTGAATTATAACAACTTTGTGATTTAAAAAAAAAACCAAAGATCACAATTTGAATGCAGGTAGTTTTATCTTTCTGAAAGATTAAAAATACTCAATAGATTTAAATTGAACATGAATATTTTTGTTGTTTGTGATAATGGTAAATCTTGTTCTAAAGAAAAAATAAACTTCATACATCAAACTATTCTTTATAAAAATCGAATTATTCTTATACAACAGTTAAAGATTTACGAGCTTAGGGAACCATTTCAATTGATGAATTATCTACAGCAATCTTGTGGGACGATAAATTTCACCCACTAGGTTTTTGTAACCGATAGAAATTTAAATTGAATTAGGTTTTGTAATTTGTTTCTGTCAGTTTATTTCCTTAACTGCAGGAACCAGCATCTATGTAATGTCGTGTGTAATCTGTTCTTTTTAGAGATGTTACTCATGTTAGATACAGTAGATGCTTAAACTGACAAAGAAATCATTGTTCAGTAAGAGGCGTTTCTATGAATGATAAAGAATGGGTCACACAGTATGTAGAATACATGCAATTCCACTAAAACTAAGTGTGTTAAAGGCCTCAATAATAAAACGATAGTTACCAATATTTTAAAGTTACTAGGACGAATGTTCAAGAGTCTCTCTAGTAAAACCCTTACTGAAGTGGCTATATTAAAAAAAAAATTAACCATGGAACTATGGTTTGGTCTAATTTTAATAAGATTGATATTCACGTCCATTACATACCTATTCTAAATTTAGTCAATAATCACTCATCACCATAACAGACTGCAAGTAAAATTTGTTCATGTGTAAGATTCAAAAGGATTGACAATAAGGACTCTCCCAGTATCTTGTTCCATGTAAGCAATTAGTGGATATTGAAGGTCTATCTCTGTATTTTTATTGTTGAACCCCCTGCAAAGATATTGAATTATAACTGTCTTCGTGGTCTCTTTTCATTAGAATCTGGAGCCAAATAAATTATATTGAAGAAGATATGAAAACCATTGTTCAATTAGAAACGGCCCAGACTTGCGTATTTTATTATTTGACTGACTGATTGTAACAAACAATTGCTCTGTTGAAGAAATTCTTTAAGTAATATTAAAGAACATCCTATTATTCTTTCATGCAATCAAATTGTATGTAGCCTGCATAGTAAGATGTGTGCCAAACTAACTGATTTATTTGTGCCACATCAGGTAACATATATTCTTACATGCGGGGTGCGGGCTTGGCCATAGTGCTTACAACCTTAAATGATGTTTTGACAGCACGGAAATACGCCTAGCTCTACTTCCAATAATATAGGAAAGAGAAGCAACCCTAATAAAAATATAATTTTTTTTTCAACTTTTAAAATTCATCATTGTTTCGTCACATATGTAAGACAATATAGAGATCAATGATGAGATTTAGTAATCAAGGGAAACAATTCGGTTTTTGAAAAGAACGTAGGTTAGTGAATGTTATTGTGAAATGCAGGTTTTGTGTTTTCCTATATTTGGGAAAGGTTAAGTTTGAAGTATATGAATAAGGTAACTGTGGATTTAACTATTTATCGAACTATGTATTCTCAATGTAAACTATATGGCGAACTTTTCATAATTTAGAAGATTTTACCACACTGTTTTTATCCTGTAATGATGCGTTGAACTGAATTTCATGTTTTTACACAATCATTTTCGTTGGAGGAGTATTGAAATTCGAATCAATCTATTAGTAGATTTCGAATTTTATTCCCAGACGAAAACCTCTCCTTGACTACTTGGTAATGTCAAAACATTGAGATATCGTGATCAAATTGACATGTGATTAT